GCTTGGGGCAACCTGGGCTGGGGGGAGGTGGCCCTGCCCAGGGCAGGGGGGTGGAACTGGATGGTCTTTAAGGTCCCTTCCAACCCAAACTGTTCTATGATTCTGTGACCTCTTGATTCACTCTAGAAGATGGAGAGGAGAGGATATAATGGGACATCCTCTTCTGGAGCACCTCTTCCTCCAGGCTTCCTTCTTGCATCTGTCCCCTCCAAGCAGGTCATAAACCAGAGACCCGGAGGGAAGGCAAGGCAAGGGAGAGGCCCCTTTGCTAATCAGAAGAGCACACTGCTCGCCAAAGCCTTCGTCAGCATCGCAGTAAAAAGGTAACACGATGGTCGGTGTCACGGCTCTTTTCCCCGATTTTCAGGGAGGCGATGCCACGCAGGGAGCACGCAGACCCCCCACCCTTGCAGAAGTCAGAGCCGGCAGAAGCAGCTCTGCGTTCTGTGGCCGACACGTAATTACGCCTCACTCCAGGTAAACATATAGGGCAGTACAACACCTATCCTGGGTGCAAAGTCCGAAGCTCTCAGTGAAGCCTAGGGGAGGAGAGCCCCGTCTTGTACCTTTCTTAGCAACGGGCTGTGGATCACCAGTAGCACCAGGTGGAAGGAAACCAGATTTTTGCTTGGGGCAACGCAGTAATGAAATGAAACGCTGAAGAAGTGCAGTAAGGAAAGCAAGTGACATCAATCTAGAGCACCCCCTGAGGAAGAAATGGTGTAAAAAGGAGAGAAACCTAGTGTGTAACAGCATCATCTGAGAGCGGTTAAACAACATCCCAGAAATTACTCTGCCGCTACAGCTGATTGTAATAATGGCCTATGATGTCTCCGGTGGAAATGTGATAAACCCACACACGCGTGTGTGCCCACACGCAGAGCAGGCAGCAGCCGTTCCCTCCCACTTGGTTCTATAAAGACCAAAAAATGGGGTTACAAAGTTGGGGAACTGCAGAACCAGACCCTACGGTACAGGGGTCAAAGACTAAATGAAAAAAAAATGTCCTCAAAGCTCCCACAAATTAAGGGAAGGAAAAGCAATGACCGGCTTTCCAGTGTAAGGAAAGGAGGGTTAAAAGGCTCCGTGGCTCAGGAGCCGGGCGACCGAGCACTGCAAGCCCGTGACTTAGAGACACAGGGTTAGAAAAGAGGAGAAGGACTCGGAGGCTTGGGGCCCTCCAAGACCCGTGTGTCTGAGGAGATGGGGGACAACCCGCGGGCTCAGGAGCAGTCAGGAAGCACAGGAGCTGCAACGCTTTGCTCTTCTGCCTTTAGCCCCGGAGAGTGCCCCAGCACCCCCGGACCGCCCCGCGCTCTGCCCCGCGCTCCCCGGCTGCAGCCCGGCTGTCCCGCTGCAGCGCGTCCCCTCCGCAGAGGGTGCTGCGGCCTCGGTGTCACAGGTGTGTCTGTCCGTGGCTCACTGTCTCAGCAGCAAACTGTGCTCAAGAGGGAATGGGGAAGAAGTCATTAGCCCCACAGTGGGGAGGCGACAGAGATGGATGGGGAGGCAGCTGCGCGCCTGAGCCAAGCAGTGAAGAGGATCAGAGATGCATGGAGTGACAGCTCAGCTCGGCAGGCTCTGCACAGGCACCTCATCTCCATTACCCAATACCTAGCAGCCAGGAAAATTATCCCACACCCAAATGGCACCATCAGCCGTGGCTGCAAGGAGTCCTCCGCCTGCTCCTCACCCCAGATGCAGGGAGGCAGCAACCCCTGCTTTCATGGACCGAGCAAGGGAACGGAAAAAAGAGAGATGCACTTCCTCAGCATAATTCTGTGCAGGACACGTTCCCATCAGTTTTTCCCACCCAGCCCGGCACTGCAGAGACAGCCTTCGTGAGAGGGAAGAGGTTTTCTCCAGACCCTGGTGAAAAACAGTTCTGCTGACTACGCCGTCCCATCGAGGGCTCGTGCTGAACCTCCTGCGCAGGGCACCGCTGCAGGCAGAGACTGGGGCTTCCGTCTGCTGCCAACCCCTTCCCAAGCAACTCTGCGACAGCGGCACCTGCAAGCCGACCTGCAGCAGCAGCAGCAGTGTGGAGGAGGACACCGCTCTGTCCCACCCCGCTCCTCTGCCCAGCCCAGCGCTGTACTTACATGCAGGCTGGGATGGTACGTGAGGACTCCGTTGTCACACAGCGTCACATACTTCTTCTTCCACTCTTTGTTGAGAGACTTGCCACTGCGCTTCAGGAGAATGCCCTAGAAAAGAAGTGTCAAAAGACTCAGACCTTGTTTGCCCCAGGCACCTCCCGCTCAGCTACAGCATCGCCACTTGTAGGAGACCGGTCTTTGAAGGGACACGAAGATCAGGACTCGGGAAAACATCCTCCAGGTCAGCCTTCCCCACAGCATTTCCCCTGGGACTGGCAGGACGAGGGCTGCACCCCTTTCCTCTCCAACCCCAGCATGTGTCCACAGACAGCCCACCCCTGTTCTCAGAGACGAGGGTCTCCCACGCCAGCACCGATGCCCAGATCCTCTGAGGGACCCATCACATACTCTGCCCTCCCAAATCGCTCTCTCTGAGCAACTTTCCTTGTGCTGAGGAACAGTGCCAACACACGGCAGAAGACAACCTCGCCACCAACCGACACCGCTTGCTCTGTTACCACAGTGCTTCCAGACCCTCCTCCATCACCAAAAGCACAGCCAGGGGGATGGCCAAGGCAAGGACAATTTGGGACAGGCGGGGCCAATCAGTGGAACAGCACTCCACGATACAGGTCTCACAAGGAATGCGTATTCTCTTGCCGGCTTGCAATTCTGTCTTGGAGATGTCACACAAATGGAGCCAGGGACACATTCCAGGAGGTAGAGCAGGTCCTGGGCAGTCGAGGGGTCGGTTCACCCACTTTCCCCACCAGGATTTTACATGAGACCCATCCTGTGGTCTTCAGGCACAGCACACTCCTGAGGCCTGAAAATGATGGTGCTTACGTGCCCCGAAGCGCCTTCTTCCCACCAGCCCAACACAGAACTAACTTCCATTGACCTGAACCAACACTCAGAGCTCGGACCCTCCTGCCCCTCTCCCCGTCCCGTTCCGCCTCCCCGGGAAACCTGCTCCTAGCAGCACTGCATCACGCACCAGGTAAGGGCAGAGGTGGAGCGGGAGAAGGAAGACAGGGCAAGAAGGCAGGCGCAAGGGCGCTGGGCAGGGACTGCGGGGGAACATCAAGTATTCCGCAGGCAGGGAGGAAAAGACAGCACAGGGGGACAAAAGTACGGGTGAATAACGGAGTCTGGGAAAAAGCTGGATCTACCAACCGTCGGGCCCGGGCCCTCCGAGAGCACTGTCTGCACAGACATCCAGACTGGCTGTTCCTAACGGGGCAAAAATCTGGGCCCCTGGCCAGCACCTCCTCAAAAACTTGGACAGAACGTCTCTGTCCTGCCAGCCTCGGCATATTTGGGGGCCCCGTCCCACTGCCTAGAGACTGAGGCCGCTGCGCCCGCATGATGGAAAAACACAACAAAAAGTTGTAGGGTTTGGCACATGCCGGGGTAACAACGCTGCCAGACACGACCATGAAATCGGCAATAAATGATGCAGAAAAGGCAGAAGTGCTCCGTGACCGCGTATGCTCTGTGCTCGGGAAGCAAACAGTGTGAAAAGGAAACGCCTCCTACTCGTGCAAGGGAGAGCAAGTTAAAACAGAGCAGCAAAAGCTGAGCCGTGTTGGTGGCAGGATCCGAGCCCTTGCCACCAAGAGCTCAGAGGGAATTAGCCGAAGATCTCACCCAGCAGCGGTTAAAAGGTGCCGATTTTAACATGCCTTGGAAGATGGCAGCAGTCCGAAGGCTCGTGCTTTGCCAAGATCCGCAAGGGGAAAAGCAACGACCCTCATAATCACGGCCACTCAGCCGGACGCTCACACCGGGCAAAACGGTGGAAAAGCCGCTGCAAGGAGTGATCAGGAAAGAGCGAGAGGACTGCCGGTAACAAACGCCAACCAGCGCAGAAATAGGTCATCAGAGAAGTCTGATCCTGCTTTCGGTAAGACGGCAGTATCTGACGGCAACGGTAACTGTGTTGACACAGCATTTTTCATTTTCTGTCAGGATTTTAACTGAGCAGCACGCACCACTAAAACCCAACTGTACAAAATCCATAAAGCCACTGCCATGTGGAGTACAAGCTGGTCAAGTGAAAGGTCTCAAAACGTGACCATAAATGAGAACAAGTGTAATCAAAAATGGCAAATCCATGTCCAACAGAAGTACATGCACAGAGGTCCCGCCAATCTGCATTTGATTCACACTATTTAATCAACGTCTTCCCCAAAGGAGCTCAAAGAAAACACACAACTTGAAGGTAACATAGAAACCGCACAGCGTAAACCGCTGCAGCGACTGGTCGTTAACACCAACTGCCTCATATCCCCTGGCAAACCCGGCTCCCGAGGACAGCGGGGACCGGAGCACAGGGCGGGCTCCCCGGGCCGGGGTGCGCTGACGCCGTGCAGCTCCCGAGCGCTCAGCGAGGACAGGAACTCAACCGGGCTGCGGACTGTCAGGTCGGACAAAGCAGATGGTATCGCCTCCAGGTGTGGTATTACCACAGCTGGAGGAGCGTTCGGAGGTCCCCTCACCACTTGCTTCCCCAGGGCAGGCTCATGTGTGCCCACGTCACTCCAACCCTTCATAGGAACCACCAGTGCCGGGGACCGCGCTCCATCCCACGGAGATCGGCCCCTGACGCCTCCTGCACCTCCACGGTGAAACGGCAGCGCAGCACTTGTCCCATGGTGGTGACCACTCAGCAGGACGGGCTCTCTGCAGCAGCACGTAGCGTTATCTCAAGGCTTTGATTACACCTCCGTGTCCTCTTCTCTCCTCTGGACTTGCAGTCCCAAACCTGTTGCTCCCGCTGCCCAGGACGGGGCAGCCCACCGAGGCCGTATGGTGCCAGCGGCGAGCCTTCTCCTGGGCTGTGGTAAGCCGTGCCCTCACAGGCAGCGAGCGGTACTCATGGTTTCTCAATGCCAGGACATGGCTCTGCTCTCGTTCTGACCTACACAAAACCACCCTCACAAGCAGCACCGCTGGGCCACGCGTTTCCCACACCGTGTGTGAAAGCAATTATTCCTCCTTGCATCTAAAGAGAGTTTAACATTACAGCTAGTCTAGGTACATGGTGGACTCTCTGTGTTTGAGAACATTTGTTTGGTATCTTCCAAACAAATCTGCTCCAGACCAGGCTGAAGTTACAAATTTGGCTCAAAGTCACTGGGTGAAATTCTCGGGCTTCCGGGCACAGTGATCCCTTCTGGCCTCAGACCTGTCTCGCTTCTGCAGTCTGCCCGGCCAATACCAACAGCTCCGGCTGCCGCTCCCCTCCTTGGTGTGTCTTCGGCTGGATACACCTTGGTGCTACAAGAATACCTCCTTCAACACTCGCAGGCTGCTGCATCTTCTGTCAAGCCCCAAGAATGTGTTGTCTGCAGAGAACAGTTCAGCTGCAGTTAGTTCAGCTACAAATCTGGAACGCCACAAATGGGAAGACAAGCAAAACCAGACCTGGAAAGAGGATCGAGCACTGGCACCCCGTTTCTTTCAAGCCAGAAGGCACCAAAACATGGAGCAACTACATGGTCTAAGTAAACATCTAACACAATGTGGGGGGAAGGGGCCCTTAAGGCCAAACATTTGCAGGAAACAGCTGAATCGAGGCGCAGGGCTCAGACAGACTTGTTCACTGCTGTATCGGAGATGGAGAGGCCGGGACAGAAGCTGAGAGGATTCCCGGTTGTAACGGTGCTGCTGTGCTGACTGCGTCAAGGCTACGACTCTGCAGCCCGCCTTCTTCTTCTCTGACGGCAGAATGAGGAGGTTTGGCCCAGCAGCACCCGGAGAACTCTGGTTTTCCCGGCGGAAAGCCCCCACGGCAGCTCAGACAGAACTGCGGAGTGGCAAGGAGGACAGGGCAGGAGAAGGGGCAGGAGGCAGGTGCCTCCCCCAGCGGGACTCAACCCTCCATGCGTGTCCTCACCATGCACCGCGCACCAGCTCGGGCTCCTCAGGTCTGCCCAGACCTGCACCCATGCGTGCTGCCACTCCTCGAGCTCTCTCTGCCTCCCGTGGAAAGATTTATAAGAGATAACTCTTCCACAAGTTTCTTCCCAAGGGTGGAAGTCGTGCATGAAGGAAAGAAGCTGCCAGAGATGAAAGGCAAGAGAGCCCAACCCTCTTCTCCTTTCCTTCCCGGCATTTTGTCGGCCAGCGCGAGTGTCTGTTGTGTTTGGATCGTGGTGGTGCACAGTAAAAGCAGCAGCAGCAATATGCAGCGTAATGAAGCAGGGAGCAGCGATGGCCCCCAAAGGACTCGTTTACTCCACAAATCTCCCTTCCACTCACTTTTTGCTAAGAATTTTAACACCAAACTTAATTGTAAAGTCGTGTATTGATTGGAAAATGCAAATGGCAATTTAAATGTAATCTAAGCTCCCAGCATGATCCCAGCTCCCAAGGAGGAGGAGTCACCCGCCTTGGGCCCTACTGGAGTGCACGGCCCAAACCGAGCTGGGCCAGGGACCCGGGGACCCCCGGGCCGCCTGCGCGTTCCGTACAGCCTTCTCGGAAAGAATCTGGTACATGGGCAATTAGGAGCTCATTCCTAGTAACAAACAGCTGGGGAAGCTTAGTCTCCCGGCCTAATTAACCCACTTCTCAGAGACAAGCGTCCAGCTATGGAGAAGCTCTTCCAACCTTGCAAGACCATCCAAACCTATGTATCACCAGAAGGACACGGCAGCAAAGGGATCCCGAGTCCTCGGTGCAGAGCGGCCCCAGCAGAGGCACCGGCTGTCTCTGCAGCCCGCAGGGGAGGGGAGGAGGTGCTGGCTGAGGCGTAGAGGGACCCCAACATCCATGGTCTCACCTGTACCACTGGCTATGTCCATCTTCTCCAGGTGTGCATGAGGTGTACGGGAGACAGAGCAGGTCACCCAGCGTTCTCAATTGCACTGGAGGAGGTGGTGACAAGTGACAGCCAGCCACCACACCTCCGTGGCAGCACCCATCCCTTCTCAGCCACGCGGCCTCCACCCAGTGTCTCTCCTCTCTGCAACACCCAACGCAGCCTCCCCCTCGGTGGTCATCCTTCCCAGACACCAGACCTGGCCCTGTGCAGGAACCCAAAGCACCGGGCGCCCAACAGGGCTGCCAGCAGGCCCTCGGGCTGGTCCTCTTCCTGCAGAGTCCAGAAGAGATTGGGCACCGGTCACAGCGACCACAGAAGTCTGCAGGACAACTACCCTACTGCTGCCCCACACCACCCC